TATTCCGATAGAAGTGATTAATGTAGATTAAGTACGTTAATCTAGCATTTTTTTTTTTACTTCAATTTCTGTCTCAAAATTTTAGATAGATGCCAATTTTATTCTTATAATATTTCCCATAAGGTACCCATAAAAAAATGTGAGAATTTCCGAAAAGAATCAGCATAAACGATTAGCTTACTCTAATTCGTAACAGAATTTTGCGTATGTCGAATACATAAACTTCGGTGCTTCTCAAGTCTCTAAAAGCTCAGCCGGTTGGCTGCCGGTAGTGAGAATACTACTTAATGTGTTTCTCTGTGTGTCTCTCTCTTTTCTCTCTTCTCGTTCGCCTTTTCACCCCCGAACTCGTACTCAGCTGCTTGATTAACGAGCTGACCGCGGGAGGGTAAGTCATCAACGTCACACGGAGGAAGTTCCGTACTGCAGCTCGGTTTACACGCTTCTTTTACGAGCTTCCCGCTTCCGGTAGGGCGCACAATTATCCTTTGATCACACGTCACACGCCCTAGCCGTCCCGGCACATTCGTCCGAAAAACGACGCATTATTACCGTAAACACCTAATTTCTTTCATTTATCCTTCAGATTCTATCCTTCAAAAGAACGAGCGATATTCAATAAAAAAGATTATTGGCAATTCTACACTTATTACAGCTTTTATCAATTAATCGCTTAATTCAAATCGAACCAATAAGCCAAGCGCTGCGTTGCTATAATACGTAGTTAAACTTATTTTTTACGTTGCATGATGAATTGAAAGATTTTGTAAAAAATTACTATTTTTGAATCAATCGTAGCGCTTTATTCAACTGGAAGACAGAACTTCGGTTGAATTGCCGCTTAGATTTTATAGAAAGCCTATTTTTTAATACTTATAATACAATTCATAATTTGAACTCCTTTCATCTTGTATTATAAATCATCTCCCGTTGCGTTTCGTAGAATTACGTACACCCCTTATAGATAATTGTTAAGTATTGTCCTATCACTTGTATTAAATCACTGAGTAATTTGTTGAATAACAATTGAAAATAGAGATCAGTTTTGAACATAGACAAATCTTTGCAACATAACGTAGGGGCACATGTGGAGCATGGAACGTAGAATGGCAAACGCACCGAAGTAGATGAAGACGTTAGAGATCAGACAGTAGTGCTTGGCTAAGAATCAAGTGGCATGGAGAGAGTTGATGAAAAAAATTACCGCGTCGGGTCCTTAATCGGTTTTATCTCTCAGGTGTGTCGGCGATACTCGTATGGAGAGGAAACAGGGGTTTTATAGCCAATCGTACACCGCGCCGAACCCTATAATCACTGTTACTGAACACACGCCCACTCCATCCCCGGATTACATGAAGCGACAGGTAGGAACTTTCAATTTTCTTCAAGTCAATTTCANTTAATAATAGTTTAAACAAATATAAATTTCTTTTGCAATATAATTTTCAGTATTATTTATTTATATTTTGGAAATTTGTTGAAAGATAATTTCCCTCTTATCAGGGTTCAATCGACAGTCAATTAGACGTGATTAGTATGCACGGTAGTCGACTGGAATCCGAAAGGAAACCGAGTCTGACTCGATCACAAACAGATTCCAATATTACTTATGGCAGCGACGAATTACCAGAAGCACCTGGTTCTGGTTGTTACATCACCAAAGAGGGTGACATAGATTTACAAGTTGTTTTAAAAGTAAGTGGAGTTCTATAAACCTGATTATTATTAATTTATTATGAAGTTTCTTATGTATTTTAATATTTCATCAGGCTGTTCATTCTATTGCTTTGAGAGACAACAATTGTTGCACATTGCGCGTATGCGAGAACATTTTAAACTTGGTAGAACTTCTAATGGACATGGGAGTAATGAGACAATGTCTGCGCGACGAAATGGGCAGCATAGCAGGTACATGCAAACATACTACTTAAAAAAAATTGTCCAAGTGTGGAATAATAATAATCATCCACACTTTCGTGATGCCATAATTGCTCTAAGTACTGAAAAACAATTAGCATAACAAATAATCGTCATGTTTTCCTTTAGAGTCAACCACAGAGAAGCCGGAGACCGGAAAGAAGAAAGATTTTCCCGAGAACGATCAGGAATATGTTTTGGAAGAGACCAAGTATTCCTCTCACCATCTTCTGATGAGCTGCGTGATCAGAGTAGTGAAGCACTTAGGCTGTCCGCACAGTTGTTCCGACGGTATACGTGGCTCGCAGGCAGACTTCTGCCGTTCACAGAGCCACACGATCCTAACGAAGTTGCACCGCGCCAGCTCGAAACAGTTCTCGAGGTTTCTCAAACAGCTGGTGCGGGAGCAACCGATACCGGAGATACTGGAATTCTTTCACTCGTTCGTTGGATTCTGCATGGATCCAAGTTCGTTACTATCTCCGCTTAGTGAGTAAATCGAGATAAAAAGGCATGATGGTGTACACGTTAATTAAAGCTTCAAGTGTTTTCGTCTACTGCCGCTGCCTAAATGGAATGGAGTCGCAATCGCAGAATTTATTTACGGCTGCCGAGCAATTCGATGCGCAATTTTTATGTCTTATTGTCTCTTCTTATATCTGCATATTAACCGCTATACTTTTAATTCTCATTATAAGAATTCGGTTTGTATGACAGATCAAAAACGAGGATCCAGTAAGTCGCCTGACGTCGGGTCGCAGAGTGGATACGCGACGAATTTCGGCGCCAATTTGATGGGAGGGATGATCGGCGCCGGTACCTCGTCTGCCGCGGGAAGCGCGACGGCTACCGGAAGCGTCGTCGCAGCGTACAGCCTGAGTGCTCACAGCGTCCGCGGGATAGAGGGCAACATTTTCAGTTACGTCTTCAAGCCGCTGGTCTCGCGTTTCGTGAAATCTTTAAAAGAGCTGAAGTTGCAAGAGAATTTAAACTTGTATTACGACCTTCGACAGTTCATGTCCTACGTGAAAGAAGTTCACGGCGGTGTTTTTAGGCGCGTGGTTCTCAGCGGGTTTCTGGAGTCCGCCGATCGACCGAATAAACGGTGCAACAGCAACGTCCAAACGACGCGAGTCATTAGGTAAAATTACTGCAAACGTAGAAATATAATTTTATTATAAATACGAAACAA